TATATATATATATATATATATGTATGTGTGTATATATAAAATGAACACAAAATCCTGAAGTTTATTTTACTAAAAATTCTGGAATATTTGACAAAAAATTTGTAATATTTTAAACAGGAAATGTGCACTCCAAAAATAATGCAAAATAGTTTAAAAATCAGTCTGACCCAACCCTTTAGTATTCATATATACTTCATATATTAATTCTATTGTAGTACTGTATATGATCTGGATTGAGTGGTATCCTCTTAAATTATTTCTTAGGATAAGACTGCAGTTGTTCAGGACGCAGATGATGGGATGGGGTGTCAAGACATTACAGGATATCCCTCAAGGAACGTTTGTTTGCGAGTGAGTTTCTTATGATGTTTCTAAAGGTCATTGAGGCCTGTGTTATATCTTCCTGTTTCAGTCTAACTGTGTGTGTGTTTTATGTTTGTTTAGGTGTGTATGTATGGATATGTTTGTGTGCTTAGTGTGTTTGTACCCTAATGTCTCATTTCCTTCCAACAGATACGTGGGTGAGATCATCTCTGACACCGAAGCAGATGTCAGAGAGAATGACTCCTATCTTTTTAGTCTGGACAGTAAGGTATCGCCATCTTAGGATGACTCCCCTTCAAAATCACATTACCTCTCCTGTCTGCTCCTGTCAGTAGTGGATTATCTGCATGCCCGCAAGCAAATTTCACCTATATATATCCTGTAGATGACCCTTGTCAGCACAGAATAATGATTTATTTGGCTGTACCATGATACTTTTGGTAATAGTATTTTAGACCTTCAATAGTCTTGCAAAGACAGATGTTGGACTCTTGGCATAAAATCTGGGCTGCAGTGCTTATTCTGATTTCTGAAGGATCACGTGACACTGAAGACTGGAGTAATGATGCTGAAAATTTAGCTTTGATCACAGGAATAAATTACATTTTAAGATATATTCAAATAAAAAGCAGTTATTTTAAATTGTAAAAATATTTCACAATATCACTGCTTTTGCTGTATTTTGGATCAAATAAATGCAGGCTTGATGAGCAGAAGAGAATTATTTAAAAAAACATTACAAATCTTAATGTTCAAAAACTTTTGACTGGTACTGTACCAGGTAGTGTGTATTATACGTATATATGTGATAGATAGATAGATAGATTATATATAATAATATTAATACTTATTATTAAATGACATTGATATTAATTACTTAAATTCCAAATGGATGCATTAAATTGATGAAAAGGGACTTTATTTTTTAATTATTTCAAATACATGCTGTTTCAAATAAACTTTCTGTTCATTGAAGAATCCTAAAAAAACGTAAGAAATGTTATTTGAGCACCAAATCAGCATATTAGAATGATTTCTGACTGATCATGTAGCACTGGAGACTGGCTGCTAAAAATTCAGCTTTACCATTACAGGAATAAATTACAATTTATGATATATTGAAACAGAAAAGAGTTCTTTTAAATTGTAATAATATTTCACAATATTATGTTTTTTTTTTTTAATCATACCAATTTTACCAAAAATATTATATATCATTGTTTTTCTTTACATTTTTATTGTTGAGCACTGCTGAATAAATCTCACTTCCCATTCTCTTCAGTCTGACATCACTCTACAAACTCCTCAATTTATTTTCTGTCGCTGCTGTTGCAGGTGGGTGATATGTACTGCGTTGATGCACGTTTCTACGGCAACATCAGCCGCTTCATAAACCATCACTGTGAGCCGAATCTGTTCCCCTGTCGAGTGTTCACCTCTCACCAGGACCTCAGATTTCCTCACATCGCGTTCTTCGCCTGTAAGAACATCAGTGCCGGAGACGAACTTGGGTCTGATTCACATTATTATCCATTTACTTGCTAATAATCCATTTAGATTGACTCCATATGTTAGTTTCCCATTATGCACAAAAGCATTTGTTGATGCTCATTTATTTTTTATTAGAACAGAAAATTTGAATTTCTCTCCCTTTCTCAGGTTTGATTACGGTGGTCACTTCTGGGACGTAAAAGGGAAGCTGTTCAGCTGCCAGTGTGGCTCATCCAAATGCAAGCACTCAGCAGCCACCATCGCCCAGAGACAGGCAGACAGTACTCCAGGATACCAGCAGCCCAGCGCCCTGCCCGATACTAGCTCGTCCACCCCATCCAGCCCCAGCTAAGCCCATCTTTCTAGCATAAAACATCCGGTTCTCCTACTTCTACCAGCCTGTCACCTCCCATCACCAGCACAGGCACACCTCTGCCATCTCTAATCAGCTCCGGTTACCAACCCGGGCCACTTGATGCTACACCCACAGTGCCATGTTTAGCTCTGGTGGTCTGAAAGCCTGATTGGTTGAAGCAGTTTAGGGGTTTAAAGTCTCGAAGGTGAGAGGTGCACAACTGAACTGGTTTTTCAGGTGTTCGGTATGCACATTTTGTATAGGTTTTTTATTGTCAGGCAGCCCCTTTGGAGCACGATCTTGTTTGACATCATCAAAAGAGCTCAAAGTGGAGTTTTTTTTCTCTTTTAATGGAAATTAATGGATTTTGCAACAGGCTTCCTTTGAAAACTACCTAATTCTTGTCGCACAATGTGTTCTCCTGCCCGACTCGATCTTCTGCGTCATTTCTTGTCATCTTTTATGAACCGTATTCTTCGAAGTTTTACTTTACCAGTCAAGGATTCCCAAATCCAAAATGAGTTTCAAATAATGTTCATTTATGCGTCTGTTTGTTTTACTTTTCTTCTGATTTTAGTTTTTGCACATTCACGGAATATGCAGAAAATGATGTAAAGGTATTCAAAGACCAACCTCTTTTGTTTTTTCTTTCCCACTAGCCCTTTCGGAGTCCTTCAGTGGGCTGTATTAACTTGGGATGAGCTGTAGGCTAGCAGTCATTGGACGTTAGCGCCCATCGCGCGCGTCCTCTGATTGGTTCACAGACGCAGGACGTCATGTCAGTGCTACCAAAATCATGAAAAGGCCTATGAACAGGACATTTTTGGCCTATATATTCAGCCCAGTTCTTGCGTTTTAATGGCGAATCGCCACTGGAAGTGCAAATGAATCCTGGACGAGTCTAAAAACAAGCCCTATGGGTTATTTCCTGCATGTTACAGGCCTGGATAGACACGGCGGTTGTTAAATGCATATTACTTGCACCCACATCAATGCAAATGAAAACTAAAATATTTCTGTACGTACTTTCGGTCACAATGATGGAACCTATTCGCATGCTTTTGAGACCCGTGCTCTAGGAATAGGACTGGAACGTTTCGCTCTGGTGGAATGAAATGCGGTCGGGTGTAGGAAAACGCAAATGGTGCTGAAAAAGGTTTTTGTTATGTTTATTTTTTTATTACTCACTAAGTGAATACAAGTTGTAAAAAAATGATGAAGAAGCAAGTGTTTCATTTTTTTTTTCATTTGTATTTTTAAATTGGCCTCTGTTTTTTCTAACTGTAGTTTGACATAGATAGCCTGTATCAATTTTGTTCCATAAGTTCATGTTGATGGTGAAACTATTACAGTCTTTTAAAGTGTTGATAGTGTAGTCATGTCCTTTGTGCAAATCCAGACATAGAGATACAAAGCACTGCAAACTGGGGGGAAACTGTAACATATTTCTGGACAGTGAAACATGATGCACAATCTTACTGGTTGTGTTTTTCTTTTTCAATAAATTTACTACTAATAAAAGAGAAAAATCTCTGTCACTATTATGCAAAAATAACATCAAGTACGATGCAAATCTGACATGAACATCATCCCATAACACTTTTTTGAGGAAGCAGATAAGTCACTTTTTTTTTTTTACACTTTAAACCCATGTGGCCACAAATGAGACCAAAGGAGTTTTGTGATGCAAAGCAGGAAGCCTTTTGATTATTTATCAAGAAGTGTTTTTTTTTTAGTTTTATAAACTTTGATTACTCTCTTCCTGATTACTTGAGTTACTTGGTTGTAATTGATCCAATGAACTGTGAGCTGATGATTGAGGCCCTCTGACTTGGCGATAAAGGCTTTTAACTAATGAGACAGGAAACATGCGCCTTTCCGCATTCCACAGCTGCAAACTTTAAAATCTGAGTATGTCTCACTCTTACATCGGTCAGCACGATTATGAGGATCACGCATTGTGGATACACTGTGTTACGGCTGAGAAACCGGATCGTGAAAATTCCTAGAGCTGCACAAGGGTAACAAGTAGACAGGGCCATGATGAGATCAGCTCGGCGTAACTCTGACTGGAAGGAGAGAAAATCCACTGTTATCTATGGTAGGATGTTCATTGGGTTTGTCTTTCGAGGTTGCTGTCATTAACTGGGTTGTGGATTGTTATTCATCTCTATCACAGTGAACTCTTCACTTATTTTAATGATAGATGATGATGTAAATAACTTGCTTTAGTGACATTTAGTGGCATTTAGGTTTAGTGACATTAAATGATGAGCTGAGACTGAATGTCTTTTTGTGGGCGAATCTCACAAAAACATGTCCATGTTGCATTACTATGGAAGCTTGTTTATAAAATATAAAAGAATAAAAAAGGTAATTCCAACCTTTTTTATCACAATTCTGACTTTTTTACTTGCAATTCAGAGTTTACATCCCACAATATTAGAGTTTACACCTCAAAATTTCAAATGTATTTCTCGCAATTCTGGCTATTTTCTCTTAATTCTTGGTTTACATCTCACAAAAAGGATAAACAATTTAAAAAGTAATTGTGACTTTCTATCTCTGAATTATTCTGCATTTATAGTCTCAATTCTGAGGGAAAACATTCTGAATTGAGATATAACCTCGTAATTATGGAGAGAAAATCCACTGTTATCTATGGTAGGATGTTCATTGGGTTTGTCTTTCGAGGTTGCTGTCATTAACTGGGTTGTGGATTGTTATTCATCTCTATCACAGTGAACTCTTCACTTATTTTAATGATAGATGATGATGTAAATAACTTGCTTTAGTGACATTTAGTGGCATTTAGGTTTAGTGACATTAAATGATGAGCTGAGACTGAATGTCTTTTTGTGGGCGAATCTCACAAAAACATGTCCATGTTGCATTACTATGGAAGCTTGTTTATAAAATATAAAAGAATAAAAAAGGTAATTCCAACCTTTTTTATCACAATTCTGACTTTTTTACTTGCAATTCAGAGTTTACATCCCACAATATTAGAGTTTACACCTCAAAATTTCAAATGTATTTCTTGCAATTCTGGCTATTTTCTCTTAATTCTTGGTTTACATCTCACAAAAAGGATAAACAATTAAAAAAGTAATTGTGACTTTCTATCTCTCAATTATTCTGCATTTATAGTCTCAATTCTGAGGAAAAACATTCTGAATTGAGATATAACCTCGTAATTATGAGAAGAAAAGTCTGAATTGTGCTCATTTTCATCCCGTGGCGAAACAGGCTTGCATAAATTTCTCCCCAAATTCCAAAAACACCAACAAAAAAGATTTTTTGCTTAGTTCCTATTTTTCTCAATGATATTAATAACAATAATTTATTTTTTATTACTAAAGAATTACTGTATACAATGAAAATACAATGAAAAAATATTTTTTTGTATTTAAATCAATGTATAAATATAAACAGCAACTTATTATAAATAAGTTATATTTAAATATTTATTTGTTTATTTATCTATGTTTATTTATTTTCATTGTGATAATGAGATTTATTTTTCCTTAATAGTAATAAGAATTGGGAGGACAATTATTATTATTTTATTTATGAAAACTGTCGCAATGCAGAAATGCTTATAGATCCTAAACATTAATTTAGTAAGAATTATTACATTTGTCAGAATTATATAGCCTAAAAATGGAATGTACAATACAGGTCCAATACAAATCCTTTAAAATTGGCCCTATACCAAGCATGCACTTGTCTCACTCCTTTAATTTCCCTGTAATGTGTATGATTTCTTTGAGTCAGTCTGTTTATCATCTCTCATTTAAAAAAATAAAGCCGCCCGATTGGCCACACTTGGAACATGGCGGATGTTAACTCTGGGCACAGAGTTCAGTTCCTGGGCTCAGTCTTCTGAGCCACCTGACAATCAGAGGAACAGAAGTGCCGCTTTTACAGAACTATCCAGCAAAGAGAGCCAAGCAGCCGGAGATGACCAGAACACTGCAGAATGTAGCAAATATGACACCGTGGTAGAGCTGGTGAGGCCCAGAGACCTGAGGAACACCGATATCATCAGTGCCCATGAAATGTGTCAAGAGCAGGTAGCACCATGGGAGGAGAGGTGAGCAGCAGGGAATGGACGTCATTTGAAATGTAACCCACACTGAGGGTTATTAACTACTTTATCATGGTCTGCTGTAAATTTAAAGCTCAATGCTGTTAAAGGTCAACAGTGAGTACTTTACACAGAAAATTACAATTGATAATTTTTTATTCATTCTATTAGCCACTAGGGGGCATAAAGGTTCAACAGGAGACATATATGTAAACTACAGAGGCCTTAAAAAGTATTTGGAGACTTAAACATATCTGGAATGAACTGAATTATGCAAGATGAAATACTGAACCTCATGTAATAAGAAAAAAAGTTTTTTTAGGACTAACATTTTTATTCATTTGTACTGTAAATTGCTTTTAATGTATTTAATATATTGTAATATGCTAAATTGATGCTCAATTATTATTGCTTATTACTACTTGTTTAATTATTAATAGTAATTATTATTTTCAATGTTCAAAAAGGTTTTTGCTGCTCAATATTTTTGTGGGAACTGTTTTTTTATTTATTTTATTTTTTTTAATAGAATAAAACGGTCAATTAAGATTTATTTGAAATGAAATTCTTTTGTAAAATTTAAAAAAGTCTTTACTGTCAATGTTACTTTTGATCAATTTAATGTATCCTTGCTGAATACCCCCCTCCCCCAAATCTTATTTACCTCAAACATTTGAAAAACATTTGAAAGGTATTGCTGTGTCCACAAAAATATTAAGCAGCACAACTGTTTTCAACATTGATAATAAGAAAAAAAACAAAATGTTTAATAAGCATCAAATCAGCATGATTTCTGAAGGATCATGTGACACTGAAGACTGGAGTAATGGCTCCATGCGACCGAGAATATTATGCATTACAGTAACTAAACAAAGGCACACAACGCAGCTTGATAATTTACTGACTGACAACAATAGGCAACCAACAAATCGCTTATGCTTTTGTGTAATGATGCCACTTATTGAAGATTTTTATGTGCTATTATAAACAATTAAAATTTAGTAACAATGAAGCGCTTTAGCTTGGCGCTTTTACTTCATTCTAGTCAAATGGACGCTATTCAAACAATACGACAAACAGTTTTAAATAAATATCATTCATTGATGATCAGTTAAGACACCCTCCCCCTCACGCGCTCTCCAGCAGGTGGTCCTGCCTATAGGGCCGTTTGCGTCACGTGTGAGAGTCTCGCGCACCAGCGTCCACTCATTTGGCACCATTCGTACCGTGCGCGTCTCCAAGTGCAATTGTTGTGTGGAAGCGGAAAGCAAATCATTGCTAAAGAGAACAAACGTTTGCGCGTGCATATGGAATACCTTAATTCGCGCTTTTGACTCCACCAACTCGCGTTTTCCAACTCGCGTTTTCCGTCTAGCATGACGCGTAAGTGATGGTGCACATTTTGGTTTCGTGACCTGTCAGCCGGATCAGGTTGTGTTGTTGGATGGATGTGGCACGAATTGGATGGTTACACATTTTCCTTTGTTTGAAATGCACTCAACGGGAATGACATTTCTATGACAAGTTTCTATTTTGTGCAATTTTCTGAGCAATCGAGTGAGGCGAGGGCGCACGGGGAGCTGGTTAAAAGGGACTTATATTTTTATTTCACTTCACATAGACTGATGGGGACTCTAAGTGGTAACAGATGTATGTACTGTAATGTGCACTCTTCATCATCTGTTTAATGCCAGTTTGGATTTTACCTGTTGGATATCTGCATCTCTAGGATGGCTCGCTTTGGAGACGATCTGCCCACCCGCTATGGAGGTCCAGCGAGCGCCGGGAGAGGGGGAGCACGGGCAGGAGGTCCCTCGGGCGGTCAAAGAATGTACAAACAGTCGATGGCTCAGAGAGCCAGGACAATGGCTTTATATAATCCTAAACAAACCAAACAGAACTGCTTCA